CGCGTGCGTGTTGCAGCTGAACAAGTTGAGTACAATGTGTCACGTGTGTCCACTTCCCTGCACCTAATTATAACCCTGCTCCTGTTCGCCGGTCCGTCAGTGCCTGCTGCTTCAATCTGAAACTTGGCTCCCGGGCACCTTAGGCTTAACACGACTGGCTTCGTATGTCCGGCCTAAGACATAAGACAGACATTGCAGTCAAATTAGCGTGTAACAAGTTTGAAGTTGAATTAGATCTAGGTATCCCTATCTCTGCTGTCAAAACTGTATTGGTCCAAACATTCAGATCTGATAGGAAAGAACTTACTGACTCCCAACGACCTGAAAGTACTAGTATAAAAAGCTATGATTTGTTCAGATCTGAAACCTACATCTATGGACAGCACAAAACGTCCACTAGACTGTGCGACACAGTGGTTGCAAGGATCAGGTTGGGTTACCGTTACCTGTGGCAGGTGGCTGCAGGTGACGGGTCTCCCAATCCTGAGCACTCCAGTTGCAAACTCTGTGAGCAGGAACTACGGCATGATCTCCCGCACTACATCACTGAATGCCCAGTTATTAGACCTTTCAGACCAGTTGGCATGAGGTACCTGGAGCTCTGCAATTACTTTATTCACTCTCGTATTCTTGAAGATATCCTCACAGTATACCCAAAATTTGCCAGTGCAGGCTATTAAACACATGGCTCTGTATGACTAACCATCCTGCGAGATGGGGACTTGTATTACCACTGCTACCTTATTCAATCTTGTGTTGTTGATATCCTCAAAATGCATCCGGAGTCTGCCAGTGCAGACCGCTTATCACATGCCTCTGTATGACTAACCATCCTGTGTGATGGGGATTTTTTAGCATCACCTAGTTAGCTTTTTTGACACACTGTACTCCACCTCATATAGTCTAGGGTAGCTGCACTAATGCAGATGTACCTAATATGTTAATAAAAAAAAAATCCCGCCTAAGTATGCAAATTAAAAAAATAAACGTCTGGGATCTAAATTTTGGCAATGCATGCTACGGATCGCATGCTCCAGTATGCCTAACCTACAAGATGGGGATAGTTCGGCATCACATAGCCTAGCGCTGACACAAATATGTAGCCCTTCGCACACTATGTCTAAGATGGTTGTATAAATGTGGCTATACCTTCGTTAATGTGGGAAAGGAAAGCTTGGGTCTGGCTTGAGGTGACTCTCAGGCTCACCGTCTTTCTTTCTGATCGACCAGGTTGTTGGTCCTTACAAGAGAAATGACTCCGCCGTCATTTAATGCATTTAGATAACTTAAGATGCGTTGCTCACTTCCATCTCACCACCTAAGAGGCATACATACCTTCGAACCTACACTGAAGTCACAGTTTTCCTTGACTCGCGGCATACTATCAACAAAACAAATATAATTAATATTAAATGGTGTTTAGTTGTGTGATTGAAAGTGCAATGAGCAAAGAACTGTTTTTTTGTAGTAATGGCATGGGAGACTAACCGCGCTGGCAGCTGTCATCAATTGATTTGATATTTGTGTTTTGAATATTATAGCAGTCTCTGGCAGTCGTGAACCTTGCTGTGTGGTTGCAGACGTTGTTCTCTGCAACCACACAGCAACGTTCAAGAACAAGAACATTAAACACGGTTCAAGTACAGCTTTATATAATAGTTTATGCATATAACCCCCATATTGCGTTTTCTAATGGGGCGATGCTATCCACCTCTGCGGGGTACGATAATATTACTAAGGACGGGGCATATGTGAGCGACAGTTTGACCTCATTCCTGCCAGTCGTCTTACAGCTTAGAGTCAGACGCCAAGGTAAGAAATGCTTTCTTCGAATCATTTAGTGAAATCGTTTCCTTGTTTATAAGGACCGGAGACCTAGCAGGTTGGGACGAGACGTCTCAACAAGCATGGCTCACAAAATACAACATAACTCTTGACGAATATATTAAACTGAACTTGATCAAAATAAAATTACTAAATTAATAATGACCGTATATAGAACTATTGCTAAGACAGATGCACCACAATGGCAGTTCAGGCCAGCAAGCTGAGGGAGCGGAGTTATCAGTAGCTTCCCAGGCTTCGTTCTAACATTAAAACTCTCCATGCAACACATCCTCTTACTAATTAAGTCCGCTTTTCGATCGTATGCGCACTAAGGCTAAAAATCGTCGTACTAAAAAATGGAAGCGGCTCACGAAAGTGACGTACTGTTCCGTTTTCTGTTTTGGCTTCTGTGTACACATTAGTTAGATGACCTAACCTAACACACGAACTAGACTGTGTTGGGTTGGTGACTCATGTATGTTTACACTCATCACAAATAATCGTTCAGTACCACGTGCTCATGCATGTTTACACACATCACAAACAATCATTCAGATATGTATGTACATACCAATTAAACGGACTACACTATGTAACGGTAAGAAAGACGGTGGAATAGGAATACTGAATGTGTACCACAAGTCATTGGCTATCTTATGTGTTACCTTCAGAAAGGAGATAATGCAAGGGAATAGTGTAAATGCGCTAGGACATTATTTTTGTAAAATACGTGTTAGCAACTTGATACATATGCCAGAGTATACTGACCTTGCCTTTATTTCACCTCATTTTTATTCCTGTGCAATTGATGTTCTCAGATGGATTGGTAATATTGAAGGTTTTTTTTTAATGATAAAGAGTAAACAAGTGTATAATGTTATACTACCACATATAGTTCCAAGAGTAGAGGAGGCATATCCACAATTTAACTGGCCAGTAATATGGACAAACCTTCATGTTAAATTTATTGCCCCAAAACAACGTGAATTATTGTATCGCTATATTCATGCCGCACCCTACTAATGATAGGTTGTTGATGTTGGGCATTAAGGACACCAATGTACTGAAATTAAGAATAATATGCATATATTTTATTTCTGTAAGCAGAAAGTTGTTCTTGTAAACTGGATTACAGACACTCTTAAAACTTTATGTGGACCAAGCATTAGAGTGGAGTTAATGAGGTTTTTAATGTTTCATATTGACATAAAATGCAAGAAAATTAAAAATACAATAATTATGCTACTTTCTGATTACATTTGGTGTGTGGATAGGCAGCCAGGAGGGTTACTCAGTAGACAAAATATTGAAATTCTTGCGAGACAGGATCAAGTTTGGGGCTGACGGCTCATGCTCGGTAATGATATGGAAAATTGGTTTACTGAGAGTTATATAGTATATAAATGCAGTATTTTCCTTTGTAAATCGATGTAAATATGATTTTTATATTGTATATTATTTAATAAAAAATAAAATAAAAGTACCACGTGCTCAAGTATGTTTACACTCATCATAACCATTCGACATATTACTCATCATTCTGCGTGATAAACATATTTCCTTCTGTACACAGGCAATATTACACGAAACGTACACACAAATATTTTTATAACGTACAAATACATAGACATTAGTAATAATAGGCTACACACAGCCATTAGTAATAATAGATAGGCTACACATTGACATTAGTAATAATAGAAACTACACACAGATATTTGTAATAATAGATAGGCTACACACAGACATTAGTAATAATAGAGGCTATACACAGACAGTTAATAATAGAGAAGCTACACACAGACATTAGTAATAATAGAAGCTACACACAGACATTAGTAATAATAGAAGCTACACACAGACATTAGTAATAATAGAAGCTACACACACATACGTTAGTAATAACAGAGAGGCTACACACAGACATTCGGACAAATCATCAAAAGTTTACAAATCTTGGTGCAAAATTCTTTTCTCTCTCTCTCTCTCTCTCTTTCCCCAAAATATAACCAATCATTCCGTGGTTTGTTTCGGTAAATGCTTGAAACTCTGGCCAGCTAATGTGAGTTTGATGGTATTTATTGGTCAGCCTCGTGGGAATAAATTTCAGAAACATGGCAATCAGTTTGTGTGGGCAAGCTTTGAAGCTTGGGTTCTGGAGACTCGGCATGCTGCTAAAGCTAGGTCTGTAGGATTATTATGCAGCCAATCGCCGCTAGTAGCTTAAACAGCCTAGTGACTCTAGAGGTTGTAAACAAACGGATATTGCTGTGATACTGTTGTGATTTGTGTCTCTCTCTGGGGTGTGGGGGAAGGTCGGGTTGATGGTGTGGCACGCGAGGCAGTGGACACGTGAGAGTCCCGGAACACATGAAACTTTCGCCTGCTAACACTGTCCCCAAAATGAGTTGCGTGTCACTAATGTTCTTCAGTAATACTTCTGCCTTGCTCAATTTGGCTTCCCGAGCCAGAAAATGCATATGTATTCAATTCTATGTAGCACGTCTAGCATGCGTTTAGCACCTGGTATGTATAGAACGCCTGGCAAAAGGAGAGTATGTAGAATACATAAAATACATGTCATACATAGAACGCTATACATACGGAGACATCTGGTATACATAGAATGCCTGACATACGTACACGTCAGGCATACATAGACATCTGGAAATACATAGAATGCTTGGCATACCATTGCCGCTAAAATCAACTCGGAAAGAATTCATGCTTAACATGACCTAAAAAAAGTGAATAACACGTAATATGAACCAGAAACATTGCAGCAGACATGATGAAAGAAGTTAATAACTAAAAGGCTTTACAAGTTCTCACATTGGTGAACCAGGCAATTACAAGCACCCAGTCGAAATGAAGACCTCAGACTGGCACGGCTCAGAGCTCCATCCTATAACTGGCTAGAGTTGATGATCCAGTAACAATAATCCTGTCGTGTATAGCGCTCTATAGTGGCCGGGTGAGAGTTGAACACCTGTTGCACACGAGGGTTCAGTATCTACTGTGTGAACACCTGTTGCATCCTGCACACCGTACCCGGTATAGCCAAACCCTTAAGTGCCAAATGTTACCTACAGAGGTACATGTACGTGAGCATTTGCTAGTGTATATGGGAGCACTCAAGCCCTGGAAACTCCCTCCAAGACTAACCGACTTACCGGGGGGTCGAACTCAAGCGTTTCCCGCTCTTGGGTCGCGGCGCACGGGTGGCCTGCAGGGTGCGTAATCTCCTCCAGTATATCACGGTCCACAGGTACGACGTGCGTCTGGGGTGACCCAGGACACTAGTTCGATCCCGTCATCCTGCCCCAAAGATTTTGTCTTACATATTTCACATCATTGTGAAGCGTTATTGTTGCTTAACATGTATTAAAAAGGTATCATATGACCCATTTCCCTTAACCAGCGGTGTGTTTTGGTCAACTTTTGCCCTTGGACGCCCTCTCGAGGCCGAGGTAAACACAGGCGTCGTTACTTGAGCTTAAACGCCAAGGGGGAACTATTTCCAGGTCTGAAATGGTAACCAGATGGAAAACAATCTGCTCACAGCTGTCCCGCGGAGCCACAAACTGCGGCCAAGAGCACATTCTCAACTAATTCACCCTTGAATTGCCTCTTTTTATTTCCCAGAGATGGCCTCACAGGACGAGAAATCTTCCGAAATGTGCAGAATAGCAGCGGAGGCCAAGTCTCCGGCACACAGGATTGTGGCGGGAACTGTCACACTGGCCCCCCCCACGTCAAGTGCTGTGGTAGGGAGTGAGGCTTGAACTGTCGTAATAAAGCCGTTGTATGTTTCATGAAAGGATACAAACGTCATACATTCGCTATACATAAAAAAGATCAGACATTGGCGTATCACTAGGCACTCATACTTTACTTTTTTTCACTCAAGAAAAAAGAAGCTGAGAATGAGTGCGTGGTGGTGCAGAGCGGAACAACTTGTCAGTCGAGGAAGCTGAGGCACTTCCAGCTGGATATTAATGTGTTAGTCACAAAGAGATGACTTGTTGGCAAGTGTTTTAAACTCTGGTGAAATCAGATCTAATTGGAATTGAAATTGAAATAAGTTTATTGAGGTAAAATACACACAAAGGGATGAGGTAGCTCAAGCTATTCTCACCCCGTTCAGTTCATCGTGTTAATACATACATAGACACACACATCACAAGCAATAAACGTATTACCGAACATTCTGAGAGATAAACATATACATTTCCTATCAGATCTATGTTGCGGCGTGTTCACTGATCGTGATCGGAGCTTGCTCGTCACTCACCTTATGTAAACTGCCAAAGGCTCTGCAATTTTCTATAACTTTAGGTTTTATTTACAATTATGGTAGTTAACCCTCAAATTTTACCTATTTTCTTGATTTTCAGATTTAAATTATGTTATAATTCATATAGTATATATAAATTTATAATTCATATAGTATATATTAATTTATAATTCATATAATTCATAGAAGGGGTACCACCTCTGGTGCAAGTGTAGGGACCCATAGCCTCGGAGAAAAAATAAAGAGTACTCAGAGAAGACCTTGTGGCATATATATTTGATATTTTATATATGAAATTTTAGCATGTGGCACGATATTTTCTATACTTTGGAGGCATAAACAATTATAAAATAACACTAACCACCCAGGAAAAAAATTTACACTCTGCTATCACTAAGGCTACACTCCTAATTATTAATAAAACTGACACTGCACTTCTAAATTACAACTGCCATTAATTTTACTCTCGCTACTAGTAGTAGTGTTCTACTAATAGTACCAACAACAGTAGAATTATTACCGCCTCTCAACTGTCAATCAACTAGTGTACAGATTCCTGAGCCTACTGGGCTGTCTGTGTGTGCCTGTGTGTTTGTGTGTGTGTGTGTGTGTGTGTGTGTGTGTGTGTGTGTGTGTGTGTGTGTGTGTGTGTGTGTGTGTGTGTGTGTGTGTGTGTGTGTGTTTGTGTGTGTGAGAGAGAGAGAGAGAGAGAGAGAGAGAGAGAGAGAGAGAGAGAGAGAGAGAGAGAGAGAGAGAGAGAGAGAGAGAGAGAGAGAGAGAGAGAGCCACACCTCACACCCGCCTAGTAGGAGCCACGCCCACCCGTGTCACATGCCCATTATAGCCTATCCTGCCACGCCCACCACAGACCGTTGGGCCACACGTAGTCAGTTCAGCGTGGCGGAATCCTTGCTAATCAGGTGATTGATTACCAAAGGTAAACACGGCTGCTTTGAATACTCGCATCCCTTGTTTTTGTGCCTGGAGCTCCGTGTTATTTAAAAACTAGTTATCTTGAGATCTTGAGGTTATCTTGAGATGATTTCGGGGTTTTTAGTGTCCCCGCGGCCCGGTCCTCGACCAGGCCTCCACCCCCAGGAAGCAGCCCGTGACAGCTGACTAACTCCCAGGTACCTATTTACTGCTAGGTAACAGGGGCATTCAGGGTGAAAGAAACTTTGCCCATTTGTTTCTGCCTCGTGCGGGAATCGAACCCGCGCCACAGAATTACGAGTCCTGCGCGCTATCCACCAGGCTACGAGGCCCCTTTAGTTTCCTTTATTTCCATTTTATCTTTCACTGTTACCGCTCCGTATGGAGAGGCTTCACCTGAGTATGAAAGGCTAGACATGCGTAAGCAAGTCTCATACGCACGGCTTAAGATACGCATGTAAAGTCTGCTTAACGTGTATGTGTGTGTATATAAGCTCGGTGAGCGATGTCTCACCAATCTCAATTGGAGTCTCAACATTCAGAGTAGTCATTACTTGGGGTAGACGGTGAAGCAGCGTCCACTCGCCTCATCTTCAGACCATTTAAGAGGATTGTTGCAGAAACGTGTTGGTCATATGTGGTGGGCGAGGCTGAGGTGGGTGGAGTGAGTAACTGGTCGGGTCGTCCCAGGTGGCCACACTGACTCACTCCTCTTTGTCTGTCTTTGGTCACGCTACTCTCCACTCTTCGCCTATTCATCATTACAAACATTGCTCAATTGCTCATTGCTCAATGCTCAGCATTGGCGTCGGGATCAAACATGCAGCTATAGTCTCAAGTTATATATATATATGTTGATCGTGTGGGTGTATATCGTCAATTAAGGGCTGGTGGTTCGTGTGTAGATCGGGGCTTGTTAGGGTAGTGTGGGATGCCCGGTGGTTTATCGATGGGGCGTGATTAAGAGGGATGGGGATGAGTAAAGTATTTACCAATCGTGTCCACGGGTGAGTGAGGTCTTCGGCAGTGACGAACCTCAGCGCCATCTATGTTCCGTGTACGGAGTTGAGTAAGGTTTACCCCGCCCGTTAATAATGTTTTGAATTATTGTAGTCCTGTGTCGTGGGAGGCCAGAGGTGATACAGAAATACCAGTGAATGGTAACAGAGGGCAGAGAGACAGTGATATGGTCGACCGATGAACGCCACTGCTGAAGCAGGCTAACAGAGGTGCAAGTACAACCTGTCCTACAAAGAACGTCGCATTTCGATCGAATGCATTACATAAGGCCAAAAATTGCCGTAAGGAAATGTTAGCGGCTCGCGAAAGTGTCATTCTCTCCCGTTTTCTGTTTTGGGTCCTCTGATAAGTTAGGGGAAAACGCTTTAAATTGGCCGTTTTCTTAACGTTGGGAAATCTTAGGAGGATGGCCTGGCTAGTAAGCACTGGAAGACTCCACCATAGGAGCGTGGGTTTTATTCCTATATAATGGAAATATTGTCAATTTTCGCCCCCCACCACCCTGACTAGGCCGCCCCCACCACCCTGACTAGGCCGCCCCCACCACCCTGACCAAGCCGCCCCCACCACCCTGACCAAGCCGCCCACCACCACCCTGATCAAGCCGCCCCCACCACCCTGACCAAGCCGCCCCCACCACCCTGACCAAGCCGCCCACCACCACCCTGACCAAGCCGCCCCCACCACCCTGACCAAGCCGCCCACCACCACCCTGACCAAGCCGCCCACCACCACCCTGACCAAGCCGCCCCCACCACCCTGACCAAGCCGCCCCCACCACCCTGACCAAGCCGCCCCCACCACCCTGACCAAGTTAAAACTGACCCCGGAGACCTGACCTCTCACCAGCTACTGACCGGATGATACCCAACCTGTGTAGCTTGTGCTCAACCACTGTTGAAGGTCGTGACTCTTACTAATATGGATCAAACTTAAATATGACGTCCAGGTGATCATGAGAACATGTCAACTTATTTTAGAATTCCGGTATAGACTTAAGTAGGGTTATTTGATAACTCAAAATAGCTTTTATAGTTCTTGTAAATATTGGGTAAAATTAAATATAAAAATCCGAACGGACGGAATAATAATGGAGGAGGAGCTGTATTTATGTAGACTAAAAGGCAACATTTATATTGAGAAAATTGATATGCAAATTTGCCTAATCGAGAGAACTCTGTATGGTGATTCTAAAGTTAAGTCACGGTAAATGTTAGTGTGTCAACACCGACTGATTGATGATTGATGAAGATTAAGCCACCCAAGAGGTGGCATGGGCATGAATAGCCCGTAAGTCAACCCCGGCATCAACACTGTTTCTACCACTTACGGGCTATTCATGCCCGTGCCACCTCTTGGGTGGCTTAACCCTCATCAATCATCAATCAACACTGTTTATGGGACCGCTCCTGTGCCAGGTAAGTCCACTACGGGCTCACCATAGCCCGTGCTACTTGCCCCGCTCCTGTGCCAGGTAAGTTACGGGCTCACCATAGCCCGTGCTACTTGGAACTTGTTCTTCAAGTAGCCACCGTCTTGAACAAGTCTTCAGTAACTTGTGTTACTGAAGACGTGTCTCAGTGTAAGTTTATTAGTGTCTTCGGAGATGGACACTAATAAAGATGTAAGAAGGATAATAAAGATGGAGATGTTTTAGCTAGAATATTGCATTCAAAATTAGGATATTGAGAGTGGTTTCTGGAGAGATATTGATAAACTGAATTGGTCTAATTAATTAATTAATATTTGGTCTAATTAACGAGCATAAGACGAATAGAGATGCAACTGTTTCGAGCAACCTATAAAACAAGTCTGGAACCATTTGGCAAACAACCGTTATGAACTACTTTTGTAAACAATTGTTATGAATCACTTGGTAAACAATCGTTAGGAACCATTTTGTAAACTGTTATGAATTGGAAAGTAATTATTAGGGACCTCGTAGCAAACAAATGCTTGAAAGTGCTACTTAATGCCTCGAATCATCTAGCAAACAACTGCTAGGAACACCCTAGCAGTCTACCAAACAACTGCTAGGAGTACCCTAGCAGCCTACCAAACAACTGCT